TTAGGCTGCCTTATCTGATCTCTTCATGATTCTGAGAACTTTAGGGGTCAGTGACCTTCCAGCAAAGTGTTCTGATTAGGATTACTATAGCCACACTTTTGATGAAATAAACTAAACATAAAGGGGAAAATATAAACATTCCACATCTGATGCTAAACAGGTCAGCCCTTTTCTGGGAAATTTTTTTCATCTTTCAATAATAACATCTTTTCATCCTTCACCTTCCAAAATAACATCTTTTCCCCTCACTTCCCAAATCTATACAGGTCTTTTTTTTCCTTAAGAGACAGGGATCTTCCTGTGTCATCCAAGCTGGAGTGCAGTGGGGTGACCATGGTTCACTGCAGCCTCAAACTTCTGGGCTCAAGCTATTCTCCCACTTTAGCCTTCAGAGTAGCTGGGACTACAGGTATGCACCACCTTCCCAGCTATTTTTTTTTAACTTGTTTAGAGATGGGGTCTTGCTCTGATGCCATAATGGTCTCAAACTCCTGGCCTCAAGCCATCTTCCCTCCTCAGCCCCCTGAGCAGAGTAGCTGGGATTACAGATGCAAGCTGCTGTGCCTGGAAAATTTTCTTTTTTAACTCACACAGAACTATTGCTGTAAAACTAAGAACTATCCTTAACCAGAGTTTCAGACGTTTGAAGTGCTCTTGGATATTTTAGCAATGTTTGGGGATTTCTGGTGCTTAGCAGAGGGTATATTTTTGGGAGAAGGTATATTTTTGCTATTCTAATAGAACTCTTTGAGTAGTAAATTTGGCTAAGAAATGGTGGTAAGATGGCACGTGTGCATTTTGTACCTATCTTGCCAAGGTTGTTCTACTCAACTATGAAAACTCCCATTACTCTAGTATTTTTACAGTTCTTTTTTTAGTTGAGAGCATGAGATTGGGAGGACGAGGGCTGGAAGAGAAAATGAGAGAGAAGTTGAAGTAGGGGAGCAGGTAGAGGAAGGAGGGGAGAGAGAGAGAGAAAGCACACTGTACAGAAAAATTACAAAGCAGATACTATCAGTTTCAAATTTCAGCCCTATCTCTCCTCTTAGCACCTTTAGTAGTGTTTGTAAAGGTTGTACTACTTCCTTTAATGGTTCAGCATTGTTTTTAGCCAGTTGCCAACTAATATTCAGATCACGGGTGGTAATTCAAACACTTTCTGGGTGTATATGTGGATAAGAGGTCATCTGAAGACTAAAAGACGTAAATACTCCAAGGCATCATCTTTTGCGACGAACCACATTTCAAATACCATAACAGTATGAAAGAGCCTAGTGGGTCAGAAAGGCTGGATGTAGAACACCTCCTCACAAAAACCTCAAGATTCCACTTGAAAATAAGGCCCATCCTGATCATGCAAAAGACTGGGTAGGTCTGAATGACTCCATGAAAATCACTACCAGAAAGATAATGCAAAGCTCTTCTTTCTAGACTATGAGTGAGTAAATCATCTTCATTCTTTCTAATAAACAGGACAATATGGGTACAGCTTTCCTCCCCTCGTATATATTTGGTGTTTTGATTCTTGCATTTTTCTAACTTTGGGGTTTATTATTCAATGTTATCAAATGAGATCATTCTGTGAGGCTATCCTGGAGAATTATCTACCCCATATTACTTGTTTCACTTTTATTGTGCACTTATTATGTTATGTATTGATTGATGGTAATATAGGAGATGCATGTTCACTGTTGCCCCACTGAGCTATGAGTGCTGTCATGGGGACTGTATAAGATTCATCTTTCCAGGCCCTCTGCTTAGCACAGTATTTTGTCTAAAGTATTCACTGAATGTGTCCCTGGACATTGCACAACTTCTCTCATAGCATGAGTTCAACAGGGCAATTAATTGTTTCTCAGTCCCACTTCCTTGTATTTTATTGGCTGAGAGGGTCAGCAGAGAGTCTTGGAAATGGAAGAAACATTAATAGTTCAGCTTCTTGTCTACTCTTTCAACATTAAGCAAGGTCATATTTAAAATATTCCAGACAGAGGGAAATTGATATTATTTTAGAAGACATTCAGAGATACCACTAAAGTGATTTCTTTGAGATTAAATTTAGCATATCTTTGAATAAGTAACTCAAACATTCTCATGTTCAGCTACATTTCTGCTCTTTCTTCAGAAGCATTATTGACATACCAAGACTCTGCCCATTAGCCTGTGGGATAAAGACTTTGAGGATAAGTGCCATTCGCGCATATGTTTATCTTAATCTCATACTGGAAAACTAAAGATATGAAAGTTAGGATTGAAGATATGTATACATTTTAAATCTCCAAATTATTTTAAAAGATAATGGAAGCCATCATATTTTGTCCCTACACTGCAAGTAAGATGGATTTCTTGGACATTTTACCAGGAGATTTGGCTTTAACACCCAATCTTCTCTAATGCAGCTCAGGCAAATGTGCCCTTCTTTTTCTCTGACCTCCAAAAGCATGCTCCTATACTTCTCACAAGGCATAATGCCATTTTTATGTTGCTTTCTTTATGTTTCTTACCTTGCAAGCAGGGACAATATTGTCCTTAAGGAACTGCATCCCTGAAAGTGCCTAGTACAATGCCTTGCCTCAAACAGATTGTCATGAAAGATTTGTTGAACACATTCACTTAAGTGACTTCTCTCTCAAAAAATACCAAAGAGACTGAGTACATATGTTTACCTATTTAACCATTAATGGGGATGAGAGTATGAATCTAATGGGGAATCAATTGGACCAGAGACTCAAGATTATCAGCTTTTTGTTGGCATCTTTGAAAATGCTCATTTCCTATTTAGGTGACCTATGTAATACAACAAGGTTAAAACCCTTTTTCCTAGGTTCTGGGTAATTTATGATTTTTTTCCATTATTATCTAAAAACATATACAGAAGGAAAATCTAGTTTAAATTGTCCAGAAAGTAATTTCTCCGAAGCAATAAACCATTCTTAGGCTCAGAGCCAGATTAGTTCCTACACACGTAATCCCTTGGGGCCTTTAGGTCACCAGCGAAAGGCCTCGGAAAATTTAATTAAAGAGATTTCCAGGAAGGGGAAAGAAATTAAAGAAATTGGTCACTACAACATGAGGGAGTTTTCCTATCCGATACAAAGGTCTTACACACAGGACACACCAAAGTCTGGAAGGCAAGTGAGATCTTCCAGAAGCTTCTGCAATGAACACTATTTAATAGCACAGTGCTATTGTCAACCATGAGAAAGAACATTAGAGGGCAAGGTTATTTCATTTAGTCACTCAGTAGCATTTAATTATTTCTATGCCAGTAAGACACTGGCATAGGTGTTATGGACACAAAAAGAAGCAAGACGAAGTCTTTATCCACAGGGGGCTGTTGGTTATCTTTAGGGGTGAGAAGACATACAAGAAAGCAACCAGTTGCTGGCTTATATGGGGAAGGCTGTGACAGAGGCCATACTAGATGCTGCAGGAACACAGAAGAGGAAGGATCTACGCCCTTTGATGAATTCCCAGGAAGGCTTCCCAGATGTGTCAGTGGGCACTTGAAGGGTGAGTTTTTGTGAAAACTAGAAAAGGCATTCTGAATAGTGAGGGCAAGATGGTAAAAGGACACAGAGGCATGCAGCGGCACGCAGTGCATGGTGAAATATAAGAAGCAGGAGTAGCTGGAGCCTGTTCTCTATGTGGGTGAACAATGAGGCTCAGGAAAGCAGGCGCCAATTCATGCCCAATGCTGTTTCAAAAAATGGATGACAAACCACATAAAAACCCACAGGGAAGATGTGTCTGAATGCCACAGTAACACAATTTACCATTATTCAGAGAGAAATCAATGTATTATTTCATGGTCTAGAAGAAGGGAATTCAGTGAGGTGTAGGAATAACTCACAGAAGATGCCAGAGAATGACATCAGAAAGAGGGGTATCTCTTTCGATGATTAGAACTTTTAGGAGCCTCATCCAAATTTAGAAAGTGGCAAACATCTTAGACACACTTTCCATGTTTAAGGTGGCTTGTGTGTGTGTGTGTGTGTGTGTGTTTATGATATTATTCAATAGGCAGAACAGATTGCACTTTTAACTAAAGAAAATCACCAGGGAGATTTTATAGGAGACCAGGGAGAAATGAAACAGAGATGAGCCGGATACAGTTATAAGTCGCCAATTTTATTACAGTGTTTAACAGATATAGGTAGTAGAACATTTAAATGACTACCATCGTTTTATTTAGTTCTGTATAACAAAACTATCACCAGTTCCAGTAGCATTCAGCTAATTAATACTAAAATTACTTTGCTAGGATTATGCAGCAAATGATGATGAAAGAAACATCCTGCAATTACATTCTTAAATCCTTGACTATTTATAATAATCTACTTCCATATAAAAGTAATATCCCATTAGTAAATATAGTATTGCATTTGAGTAACTCTGCCATACCTGCTGTAATAACTACCATTTATTGAACACCTATTTTATTTCACACTTCATTCATACTGCAAAGTTTTTACAAGTTATTATCATTCTATTCTTACAGGTGAGAAAACCAGCTCTGAAAGGCTGAGACACTTGGCCAACATCACAGAGCTACTAAGCGATAGAGCCAGGATTCAAACATAGGACAGCAAAATTTGTGTCCTTGCTGCAAGTTTAGGATTGGGGTGAAAGCTAGTATGTTTATATCTAGGCCTACTCAGGCGAGAAATCAGTGTGAGCTTAGTGATGTAATGAGTGTGCCTATGATTACTGTTGTGTAGATGATAAGTTGAGCTAAGGGGTTAATTAGTACGGGAAGGGTATAACCAACATTTTCGGGGTATGGGCCCGATAGCTTATTTAGCTGACCTTACTTTAGGATGGAGTGTATTAGGTAGCACGGAGAAATTTGGATTCTCAAGGGTGGGTTCAATGCCTGCAATCTTAGAAATAAGAGGGTTGGAGCCTCTATTTTTTACTCTATCAAAGTAACTCTTTTGTCAGACATATTTCTAGGTTTGGGGGGGAATGCTGGAGATTGCAATGGGTGTTGAGATATTTCATATGAGAAATGCTAGTGTGAGTGGGAGGAAATTTTTTCATAGTAGATGTATGAGTTGGTCGTAACGGAATCGAGGGTATGTTGCTCGAATTCATAGAAATAGAGAAGTTAGGAGAAGTGTTTTTATAACAAAGCACGTTGTGAATAGTTCTGCTGAGTGAATGGCGTAGAATGTACCTAGGAAGATTGTGGTTGTTAGGGCGTTTATTATGATAATATTTATGTATTCGGCTATAAAGAATAAGGTGAATGGACCTGCAGCATATTCAATATTAAAGCCTGATACTAGTTCTGATTCGCCTTCTGTTAGATCGAAGGGGGCTCGATTTGTTTCTGCCAGTGTGGAGGTGAATCATATTATGGCTAGGGGTCATGATGGTGGAAGGAGTCATAGATATTCTTGTGTTGTAATAAGCATGTTGAGGTTAAATGAGCCACTTATCAGTAGAATTGATAGTAGAATAATAGCGAGAGTAACTTCATATGAGATTGTTTGAGCGACAGCTCGTAGGGCTCCAGTTAGGGTGTAGTTTGAATTTGATGCTCATCCTGATCATAGGATAGAGTAGACAGCTAGGCTAGATGTAGCCAGGATGAATAGGAGCCCTAGATTGAAGTTAATTAAAGGATTTGGCATAGGGAGGGGGGTTCATAGGAGGAGGGCAATGGAGAAGGCTAGGGCAGGTGCAATAGTGTAGAGGATGGTGGTAGATGCTGAGGGTTTTAGGGGTTCTTTGGTTTTACTGCGTCAGCGAAGGGTTGTAGTAGCCCATATGGGCCTACGATGTTGGGTCCTTTGCGTAGTTGTATATAACCCAGTAATTTTCGCTCGACGAGTGTGAGGAATGCTATGGCGGTTAGTGTGGGTATAATGAGGAGTAGAAAGTTTGTTGTGATCATGGTGTTAAGAAGAGGAGTTGAACCTCTGGTTGTAAAGTTTTAAATTTTATGCAATTGCCGGGCTCTGCCATCTTAACAAACCCTGCTCTTGGGTTAGGTATGTGGTGGTTTGCTAAATTGAGACTAAGTCATTTATGTAGTGAGGGCGCTACTGTGAAGTGGGCCTTATTTCTCTTGTCCTTTCGTACAGGGAGAAATATATAATAGATAGAAACCGACCTGGATTGCTCCGGTCTGAACTCAGATCACGTAGGAACTTTAATCGTTGAACAAACAAACCCTTGATAGCTGCTGCACCATTAGGATGTCCTGATCCAACATCGAGGTCGTAAACTCTATTGTCGATATGGACTCTAGAATAGAATTGCGCTGTTATCCCCGGGGTAACTTATTCCGTTGATCAAATTATTGGGTCAATTGTAAGTGTTAGTTCGCTTTGACTTGTGTGGTCTTAGCGTAGATTACTTGGAGGTTTGGTTGTGCTCCGAGGTCACCCCAACCAAAATTTTTAGTGCAGGTGTAGGAGTTTAAGGGCCTAGTAGGTTTGTATAATTTTTAGTTGCACTGATGAATTGAAGCTCCACGGGGTCTTCTCGTCTTATTGTTTTATGTCCGTCTCTTCACAGACAGGCCAATTTCACTGGTTAAAAGTAAGAGACAGTTAAACCCTCGTGATGCCATTCATGCAAGTCCCCATTTAAAGAACAAGTGATTATGCTACCTTTGCACGGTCAGGGTACCGCGGCCGTTAAACGTGTGTCACTGGGCAGGCAGTGCCTCTAATACTAGTGATGCTAGAGGTGATGTTTTTGGTAAACAGGTGGGGGTTAAGTTTGCCGAGTTCCTTTTACTTTTTTTAACCTTCCTTAAGAGCATGCCTGTGTTGGATTAACAGTAAAAGCAGTATGAGCTTGTTTATGTTTGTCAATACTAAGCTGTTAAGTATCAGTGGAGTTTTCGGTCTGATTTAGGCTTATGCAATGGAGAAAGTATTCATGTTACTTATACTAACATTGTTGCTTCTATATAGTGATAGATTGATCCAATGTGATATGAGGAGTTCAGTTATATGTTTGGAGTTTTTGGGTGGTTGATGTTGAGCTTGAACACTTTCTTAATTGATGGCTGCTTTTGGGCCAACTATGATGGTTGGGGTTTTTACTCTCTATATAAGGTTTTTTCCTGGTGTCTAAAGAGCTGTCCCTCTTTAGACTAACAATTGAGCTTACAAGGGGATTAAGTAGTTCTGTAGGTAAACTCAAGTTTAGGATATTAACTCATAATATTAAATGTGTCTAAAGAATAGCTACAGCTATGTTTCCCTGTTTCCCAATCAGCTCAACTGAAAGGTAGCTGGGAACAGGAGAGGAAGGTGATCAGGGAACACATTCCAGTGATGTGGGGCTTCTCTTACCCTCTGCATTTCCTCTTTCAGATGCTCATCTACTGAAAAGGCTTCAACTTTCACCTTTGCTGATGATGTTCCAGTCCCAGTCTGCCCAATCTGAATTCTTTCTCAGCCTCTGCTTAGCCTCCTATCCTCCATTCCTTCTCCTATGATCTAGGCAGACATTGAGGATTATGCCTGGCACATTTTCTCAGGGGGCCAAGACACAGCCTTCATTTTCCACTCAACTGGGAGCTCTAGGCACCCATTACCATTCAGAGTTGGTATTCAAGACAATTTTTTTTTTTCCCCTCAATCTAGTCCTTTTTTTTTCTTTAATCGCCTTAAGGAATATACCTTTTAAAGTGTCTCAAAGGATTTCATTCCTCCATTCATTCAGCAAACTGTAAAGAGCTTCCCATGTGCTGGCTATTGAATGCAACATCCTCCCTTTCGAACCCTCTCCTGCTCAACAGGTCCCCGGCTATCAATGATACCAGCAACAGCACTGAAAGAGTAAATATACACCAGATAACACAGGTGAGTGGGCACAGCTCTCCATGCCACCCTAGTTCCTCACAAAGGCATGTCCAATATTGGGAGGTACTGACAGCTTGAGAGGAAGGAGAAAGCCACCAGGTCAGAGAAACTCTGAGCTGTAGGCTTGCTGCCTTTCTTACATACATTTGAGAAAAGGCCAGGTTAGCATCCAAGAGTCCACCCTATCACCATATAAGGGAATCCATGCCAGACACATACACTTCTATTTCTAATGCTGGTCCTGGGCCTACAGATGTATAATCAGTATACCCTTCTAGTTCAAGCCCTTATCCCCTCCTATATGGATAACTGTAACAGACTGTCCTCTCCAGTTCATCCTATAAATGCCATAACCAAAGTCTACCCCCAATTTTAACCCCTAGTAATCACTGATTTGTTCTACAGATTGGTGCAACAGTAATTGCGGTTTTTGCCATTAAAATCACAAGAACAGAAAACCAAACACCGCATGTTCTCACTCATAGGTGGGAACTGAACAATGAGATGACTTGGACTCGGGAAGGGGAACATCACACACCGGGGCCTATCATGGGGAGGGGGGAGGGGGGAGGGATTGCATTGGGAGTTATACCTGATGTAAATGACGAGTTGATGGGTGCTGACGGGTTGACGGGTGCAGCACACCAACATGGCACAAGTATACATATGTAACAAACCTGCACGTTATGCATATGTACCCTAGAACTTAAAGTATAATAATAATAATGAATAAAAATAAATAAATAAAAAAAAAGAAAAAAAAAGTAATGGCGAAAGTAATGCTTAGCCTCCTATTTGGCGAAACTGTAATGGTGAAAACTGTAATTACGGTTGCATCAACCTAATACAACACTGCAATTTTGTTTTTTAAGAATGTCAAATAGACTCGGCGCGGTGGCTCACGCCTGTAATCCCAGCACTTTGGAAGGCCGAGGCAGGCGGATCACCACGTCAGGAGTTTGAGACCAGCCTGACCAACACAGTGAAACCCCGCCTCTATTAAAAATACAAAAATTAGCTGGGTGTGGTGGCATGTGCCTTTAGTCCCAGCTACGCAGGAGGCTGAGGAAGGATAATCGCTTGAACCCGGGAGGCGAAGGTTGCAGTGAGCCAAGATCGCACTGCACTCCAGCCTGAGTGACAGAGCGAGACTCTGTCTCAAAACAAAAAGTCAAATAAATGAGATTATACAGCGTTTAATTTTCTGACATTGACTTCTTTCACTCAGCATACTTTTGAGATTTATTCAAGGTATTACATGTAGTGTGTCTAGCAGCGTGTCTCTTTTACTTGTTGAGTAGTATTCCATGGTACAAAGGTACCAGGCTGTTTATCCATTCCTCTGTTGAATGGTATCTTGGTGAATTTTGGGGTGCTTATGAAGGGAGCTGTTATGAATATGCATGTGTGGGTTTTTGTGCAAACATAATTTTCTATTTCTCTAGAGTAAATATCCAGCAATAGGACTCCTGGGTTGTATGGTAAGTACATGTTCAACATTTTATAATAAGAGAAAAAAATAGTTCGATTAAGTCCAATTAATAGTTCTGATTAAGATTTATCAATCTTTTATTTTCTGAATTATGCTTTTTGTGTCATGTCTAAGAACTCTTTGCCTAATCCTAGGTCACAAAGATTTTTCTCCTAGGTTTTCTTTGAAAAGTTTTATACTTTGAACTTAGACAAATGATCCATTTTGAGTTAATTTTTCCATAAGGTATAAGGTTTTGGTTGAGAGTTTTGCTTTGTTTTTGCATATGTAGATTTCTATTTTAAAAACATGATTTGTTAAAAAGACAATTCTTTCTCCATTGAGTTGCTATGCAACTTTGCCAAAAATCAATTGGCCACGTTTATATGAATCTATTTCTGAACTTTTTATTCTGTTCCATTGATCTATTTGTCTCTCTCTTTGCCATTACCACCCTGTCTTGATAACTGAAGCTTTATAGTAAGTCTTAAAACTGCGTAATGTAATTCCTCCAACTTTATTTCTTTTCCAAATTGTTTCAACTATTCTTATTCCTTTTCCTTTCATATACATTGTAGAATCAGATTGTGTATATATAGAATAACCTCATAGGATTGTCAGTGGAATGGTGTAAAATCTATAGACCTATTTGCGGGGAATTAACATCACTACCATGTTAATTATTCTTGTCCATAAATAAGGTATGTTTTTCCATTTATTTAGGTCTTCTTTGATTTCTTTCATCAGCACTTTTTAGTTTTTGGCATACAGATCCCATACATATTTTGTTAGCCCTATATCATTTCCCCCATTTTATCCCTATTTCTTAAATAGTATTGATTTTTAATTTCATTTATCAATTGAAATACTGTTAATTTTTGTCTGATCATCTTGTATCCTGCTACCTTGCTAAACTCACTTAAACTTCTAGTAGTTTTTGGTAGATTCCTTGGATGTTCTACATAGACAACCAAAACTGCGTATTATGCAAATAGGGGTAGTTTTGTTTCCTTTCTGATCTATATAATTTTCATTTCTTTTTCTTACTGCATTGGCTAGGACTCCCAGTACAATGTTGAATAGAAGCAGTGAGATTGGACATCACTGTCTTCTCCAGTATTGGGGGGAAAAGTTCAGTCTTTCGCACTAAGTTTGATGTTACCTGTAGTGACTTTTTGTTTGTTTGGTTGGGTTTTTTAGTAGATACTCTTTATCAGGTAGAAGAAACTCCCTCCTTTTTCTAGTTTGCTGAGAGATTTTATCATGAAAGAATATTGAGTTTTGTTATCTGCCTCAATTGACAGTGTCTTCTTTACACTATTAAGGTGGTGGATTACACTGACTGATTTTTAAAAGTAATAAATCAGCCTACAGTTTCCAGTATAGGTTGCTCTTGGTCGTATTGTATTATTTCTTTTTCTATATTGCTGAGTTTGATTTGGTAATATTTTGTTGAGAATTTTTGTGCTCTATAGTGTTATTCTTTATTTTATTATCTTTGTCTGGTTTTTGTGTCAGGCTTATTCTGGCTTTATAAAATTAGTTGAGAAGAGATTGGGTAGACAGGCTGTTATTTCTTCTTTAAATGTTTGGTAAAAAACTGCAGTGAAACCATTTGGGTCTGGAGGTTTCTTTTTTGACAGAACTTTAACTCCAAATTCAACTTTTTAAATAGTTACAGGACTACTCAGATTCTATTGAGTCTTGGATGAGTTTTGGTTGTTTGTGGTTTGCTAGGAATTGGTCCATTCCATCTATATTGTTGAATTTAGATGAGCAGAGTTGTTTGTAATATTCTCTTTTTAATTTCTACACAGTCTATAATAGCCTCTCTATCATTCTGATATGGTAATTTAATTCTTCTTTTTATCTGGATTGACCTTTTTAAATGTTTATCCATTTAGTTGTTTCCCTCAAAGAACTGCTTTTATTTTTATTGATTTTTTTCTCTATTGTTTTTCAATTTAAATTAATTTCTGCTCTCATCTTTGTTTTGTTTTGTTGTTTTCCTGCTTACTTTAGGTCTCATTTAGCCTTTA